ATGTATATCACCTAGTTCTCCAAGGCACTTTCCTTACAGTCATCAGTACTTTACCAGAAGCAATCTCAAGGTGAAGGGGTTGCATGTGCTGAGCAATCTGATTGGGTCTGCACATGCCCAATAAAGTACCTTCTTTTCTTATTCATGTTTGGATAGTTTACTTGTGTTTCCATTTGAATGTGAGGAACTGCCTGCAAGGTCAGTTTGGCTGAAACATAAAGTGCCAGAATGGGAATAATATAAAATAAGCCTGGAAAGATAGGGTGGCATCATGTTGAAGAGTTTTAAATGCCAAATAGAGGATTTTATATTTGATTCTTGAGGCAACAGGAAGGCATTGGAATTTATTGCAAAGGGGAATGGTGTCATTTGACCTGACCTTTTGGAAAATCACTTCTGCAGGTGAGAATAGAGTGGAGAAAGGCTTGAGAAAGTGAAACCAATTAGGAGGCCATTTAACAGTCCAAGTGACCATAAGGAGTATCAGTCAGACACTCTTAGTTAGACACTCTAGTTAAGAGTGGTAGCTGTGTGAATGGATAGGTGAACATGTTGTTGAGAAAGAATTGACAAGATTTGGCAACTGGGTGAGTAAATGAGTGAAAGTGAGAAGCTAAGATTTCAAACCTGGATACCTGAAAAGAATGACAGATTTGAAAGAGGGGTGGGTTTTTTTGGGTGGGGGAGATAATGCAAATTGCAGCAATGCTTACTCATCCTCTGTACTACCCCGGTCCACCCAAAACAAAAGGAAGGCTGTGGGGTTTTTACTTACTGGTCACTGCCTGTAAATGCAGAGCTGCATTCTGAGGGATGTTTGCAATACCCATTAGGTCATCCATAAGGCAAGGGGTGGCTATGCTGGGCATAGGACGGGGATACAACTTCTACTGTGGGTCTCCACTTCCTGATTAGGTTACAACTGAAGGGTGATGCCTAACACAGAATGGGGGAGGTTGGGAGCTTGGACAGAAGAAGGAGTATCAGGTAGATGATGAGTTTGGGGGAGGTATAGCTATATCAGAGACACTTTCTCTATCATGAGGAGAGTGCTCTGATTTGTTGATCACATACCCTTTGGGCTCATGCCACAGCCCCTCATGAAGTTATAGTCCCCACCTTGGAAATCATTGAAGATAATGACCTGCTCACACCACTATCATCAATGAAGAACATTTAGTGGATGTCTTCTGTGTATAGGGTATTGTGCTCAGCACAGGGGAAAAAACTTAATAATAGGGCATAAAGATAAGTAGTAATATAAATGGCATAGGCCAAGGGTCAAATGAGCAAAATAGACCAAATGTACTAGAGGAATTGATAATACTTCTTCCTTGGTCTTTGCATGCATTTTGTAGGTCTCTTATGGTCTTAATTGTTTTCCATTTTGCATTATAGATATCTGGGAATAGCATAGCTATGCATATCGGTTTATATGCCATACCCTTTCTGTTAGATTGTAGGCTCAAGAAGTTAGGGACTATGCTTCAACTGTCTTTCCTTCTTCACCAGTATTCTGCCCAGAGTTTAATAACTGGTTGTCAAATGACCAAAGGAATAGGAGTTCAGATAGAGAGGTCACTCTGGCCTAGGGTCATCAAGAACTTGAGCAAGGCTATAAATTTGATAAAGTAGGTCCAATAGAATGTGAGCTCCTTGAAGTTAGAGACTGTTTGTCTGTGTTCTCAGCACCCACAATAGTATTAGTGCCTAAATATTTGCCTTATTTAACTTAATTTGGGCTGGATGTTGGAAGGACTAAATGCCAGGCTAATGATAAAAACTCATTTATGTGGAACTTTAATGATGACATACCATTTATTTTCTTTTTCACTTGATTCTCACAACTCTGTGAGGCAAAGATTTGGGCTTTAATCCTGTAAATAGTACAAAGCCATTTAAAGTTTCTGAGGAGGGAAATGATATATATATATCTTTTTGGCTAGGCAATGGGGTTAAGTGATTTGCCCAAGGTCACACAGACACATAACACAGTAAGTGTTATGTGTCTGAAGCTGGATTTGAACTCAGGTCCTCCTGAATCCAGGGCCGGTGCTCTATCCACTGAGCCACCTAGCTGCCCCGGAAATGATATATTTTAGAAAGAATGATCTTCTGGTGGCATGCAGGACAGAAGATAGAAAGACTGGGGGCAGTGAGAACAATTAGGTCATTGCAATAATCCAACATGGAAGTGATGAGGAAGTTAGCTACTTTGTCAGTTAGGATGGCAGTAGTGGAAATGGGTAGAGAGAAGTAAGTATTCTCCCTTTCTATAATCTTGCTAATCAAAGATGACTGGATAATGAGGTGATAAGGAGAATGATGGTAGCATTTGTAGAAATATGGAAGTCATCTCAGAGTAGGAAGGGACCTCAGAGATCTCCAACCTTTATTCATAAAAAAGGACATCTGGGCTTTGCTTGAAGACTACAAATGAGTGGGAACCCACTCTCTCCAGAGGCAGCCAATTCCACTTTTGGATAGAGTCTAGTCTAGTCAAATCAACAAGCTTTCGTTAAGTACTTTACTATATCCCAGGTACTGTGCTAAGTGCTGGAGATACAGATATAAGCAGAAAGAAAGACTGTCCCTGCCCTCAAGAAGCTCACATTCTAATAGGGGGAGGGGAAGGCAACACAAAAGAAACTGAAAAAGGAAGGGGGAGGCAGAAGGTATCCTTGAGAAGAAGGAAAATATTACTGGCCTGGACATTTTCCTTGAAACAGAGGTTTCAAGAGGAACTGTCAGAGGAAAGGGCCACAAAGCAGAGTATGCTTCCAGTGTGAGAAAGTCAGGGTCAAAGGAAAATTCCAGGGTGAGGAGGCTGCTGTGGCATGGTGGATGCAGTGGATGACCTTGGCATCTTTGATATCCAACTAAATTCTAAGTGCTCCACAGCATATACTTCAGCCACTATTGTGGCCATTGGAACAAATTGTTCTCGTCTGTCCATTCTGCTGGAGGAAGTCTTCATGGGCCTGGGCAGCTATTCCCCTAACTCACCAACAGTTCCAAGGCCTGTTGGTTACTCTCAGTCTGGTTTAACCCATCAACTGGGATAGTTTTACCCAGGTGTGGCCCGTGCACATGCTATAGCTTCCTGGAGCCACTGGTGAGAATTGGACTCCAAATTTGGACACCAAAGGTGGATGAGCAGTCTTGAAAAGGGCCCCTCAAGCCCTCACACCAGAGGTGTGAATACTCCATACACCCCCAACAACTATGTACAAACAAGTTATAGGCCAGACAAATTAGAGATAATCAACAGAGGGAAGGCAATAGAATTAAGAGGGATCAGCAAAGGCTTCTTCTAGAAGGCAGGCTTATAGCTGGGACACAAAGCCAGATGGAGATGAGAAGGGAGAGAATTCCATGAATGGAGGACAGCCAGTTAAAACGCCCAAAGTGGAGAGGTAGAGTATATAGGTCCAAGAATATCACGAAGATCAGTGTTATTGGATGGGGTGGAGAGGGACTTAGCTGAGCAGGAAAGAGAAGGGGGAAGGTGTGAATGTAAGAAGACTGTAGGTTATCAACATAGAGGGCCTTGAATGCTAGCCTAACGAGTTTGAACTTTTCTCATCAGGTAATTAGCCATTGAAGGGTTTTGGGCAGAGAGGAAAGACATGACCAGATACATGAATGGGGTAACATCATTATTTTTTTCTAGTGGCATGAAAAGTTGATGGAGGGATGGGATGGGGTAGAGTCGAGGTGGAATCTGCTTCAATAATCTAGGTGGATGGCCAGGACTTTTAGCAGGATGGTGGCAGCAGGAACAGGACAGAGAGAATGGATGTGACAGATTTAGTGAAAGTCGAATGACAGAATTCAGTAAATATAGAGGGAAAAATTAAAGAGCACACCAAGATTAAAGACTGAAGACTGGGTGAATAGCTTGTCCAAGGACAGAAACAGCAAAGTCAGAGAAAGGAATGAGTTTAAAGAAAAGACAATAAGGGAAGGGGGGGGGAGAGGGGGAGAGAGGGAGGGAGAGGGGGAGAAAGGGGGGGGACAGAGAGAGGGGGAGAGGAGGAAAGGGGGGAGGAAGAGGAAGGGAGAGCACAGGATGGAAAACTAGGTCCAAGGGCAGAAATCTGGGGCCCACCCACATTAAAGGGGTTCGGAAAAGGTTCAAGAGCCCACGGAGACAGAGCGGGACTAAGTGGAGAGGTAGAAGAACCAGAGACAGGGGCGTCCGAAGCCGAACCGCAGCCACAGCCACAGCCTCAGCGGTCAGGGGGTTGAGGGCTGGAGGAAGAGGTCCTGGATCTGGTGAGGCAGGAGGCCCCATGTAATCTCACGGAGAATTCCACCCCCACCTCCGCCATACCACGGAGGGGGCGAAGATGACATAGATGAGCAGGAAGGAAATGGAGGCAGGGAGTGCTGAAAACTGTTTCAAAAAGCTTGGCTTCGTAAAGCACAGAAAAACCGAAGTAAAGCTTTTTTTAGGCGCGGAGGGCTAGGCTGTGAAGGCCCTGGACTATACGTACTGTTATTTTAATACCCACACTACTTCTTCAACCCCTCGCTCAGCTCTTCTCTTCTCTCCGTGACGCTTCGCTTCCTTCTCCACACCCCGCTACACTTTGTGTCCGCTCCGCTCACGCCAAGTGGTAAACACTGGGAAATGTAGTTGTAGACCCGGCAGTCTCTCCTGTTGGGCCCCCGCCTGGAAACTCCACTTCCCAGCATACCATGAAAAAGAACTGAGGCACGTGGGGGAGGATTTAAAGACACTACCCACCTATGCGCACATTCTGCTGGGATTCGAAGTTCCTTGGACCTAATATCAGCCCACGAGCGTAGGGCACGGCGGACTACAATTCCCAGAAAAGACTGCGTTTCCCCCTTAGATGACGTCACCTCGACATCGCTGAGGCCTCTGGGAAGTGCAGTAGTTCGCATGCAGGGCCCTAGCCTTAGCCTGCCGCCCGGGAAGACGACATTTCCCAGGTGGCTGCGCGGAGGCGCGCCGGGAACAGGCGGGTGTTGTGATTGGCTGGCGAGCCGGCCGCACGCGGAGTAGCCGAAGCTGCTCTGTTGCGACAGAGGCCGAGCGGCGAGGCCCGGTGAGCTGGGGGAGGGGGTGCCGGCCGGTGAGGGCGGGAGAGTCGAACCGGGCCCGAAGGGAAGGCGAGGGATGGAGGGAGCGGGGAGACCCCGGGGACGGAGAGGAGATCTGGGGGAAGAGGACTTCTGGTGAGGGACTGTTGGTGAGGGAAGAGAACCGGGCCGGGCCGGGCTGGGGGCTGGAGGGGGGGGGTGCGGCGGGTGCGGGAAAGAGAGTAGAAAGAGGAGTTGAGGAAGAAAAGTTGGAGGAGGGGGGAGAGAGGTGGAGGGGTTGGTAGAGAGTAGGAGAGAAGGAGAGGACGGGAGTGGAGGATTGGGAGGAAAGGGAAGAGACTAGCGGGAGGGAGAGATCGAGTTGGGGGAGGGGGAGAAAGGGGGGAGAGAAGGGGGGGAGGGGGGGGGGGGAGTGGGAGGAAAGGGAAGGGACGAGCGGGAGGGAGAGATCGAGTTGGGGGAGGGGGAGAAAGTGGAGAGAGAATGGGGGGAGAGAGTGGAGAAAGGGGTACGCTAGGAGGAGAGAGTACAGAATGGGGGAGAGTTGGGAAGAGAACAAAGTGGAGAGTTGGGAAAGAGGGATAACTAGTGGAGAGAGCGGGGGGGGGGCTGAAGGGCTAGAGAGAAGAGAGTGAAAAATGAAGAAGCGAGGAAGAAAGACATGAGGGAAGAATCGAAAGTGGATGAAAAGAGGAGAGAATGGAGAGGAGGGAGGAATGGGGGGAAACTGGAGAGTGGGAAGGGAGAGTAAAGGCAGAGTCAGCGTGCAGGAAGGAAGAGAATATAGGATGGTGGAGAGAGTAGAATTGGGAAGACATGGGAAAAGGAGGGAGCAGGAAGAGAGTGGAGGGGTAGAGTGTACAGAAAACAATGACTGGAAGAAGGGGATGGGGATGGGGGCATAGAGGAAAGAAGGAAGAACAGGTTAGGATGGCAAGGTGGAGAGGAAAGGATGAAATGAGAGGCAAGTCATTTAAAAGGTGGAGTTAAAGGGACAGGGTACTGGGGAGAGGAAGAGTCTGGAGGGAACTTATGAAAGAGTAGGGGAGGTTGAAGGCCCTAAGAAGGGAAAGGAATGAGAGGTAGGCAGAATGGAGGGCTGTAGGAGGTAAACTGAAATGTAGAGTGAGGAAAACTTTCTTTTAGGGGACAAAGCTAGGCCATAGGAACATAGATTTATAGCTGGAAGGGACCTTAGAGGTTATTTGGTCTGTAGTCATTTTACAGACAAAGAAACTTGAGTCCCAGAAAGGTTCAGTGACTTGCCTGGCACTGCTGATTAAGTGGAGAAGCTAAGATTCTAACTGATTCTTCTGACTCCAAATCTAATACTGGGCTGTGATCTGGTAGTGAGGGTTCAGTAAGAGAGGATGGGACTGGTGGGGTAAGGTTTGAGTCGGGAAAATACCTGAGGCTACCAAATACTGAGTAAGACACATTGGTTTGGGAATAGAGAAGACTGCTAGGCAAAAGATTAAAGAAAGTGAACAGAGAAAGGGCCTGCCTATCTCTTTGTGGTGTGTTCTCGGGTATGGAGATTTCTTTACCTTTCTCACTTCAGGTTAAGCTGAAAGAACTGTAACACCTGTGGCTCATCACCATGCCCTCTGATCTGGCCAAGAAGAAGGCAGCCAAGAAGAAGGAAGCTGCCAAAGCCAGGCAGCGTCCCAGAAAGGGTCATGAAGAAAATGGAGATGCTGTCACCGAGCCACAGTTGGTAGAGGAGAAAAATGAGGAAGCCAATGGCAAAGATACCTTAGGTAAGATTGAAGTATCTTTTGTGGGAATTTTCTGATAATTCTGACTTGATGCGGGGTTCCCAGATCAAGAGTTGTCATAGTTTTTGTTAGCGTCATGATTTAGGTGCAGAAAAGGACAAAGTATGTGGCTTGTGCAATGGATGTTTGGCCCCATTTTAGGTCTGTGACTTGAGCCCACAGAGTCGGTTGGGTATCTGATACCAGAGTGGAGTGGTGTGCTCATCCTGGGGTCTGGATCCTTTTCTTTCTCAGACTCTTATTTTCTCAGTGCATAATAAGTCACTGTGTGTATATGGTGGCCAAGGTGCTGGATTGTGTGTCACATGGAACCCTCCGAGAACTATTGACCATATAGGAAAAGGTGCCTTATGTTTGACCCCTGCAAATAGACTCCTTTCTCTATTTTATTTGTTGGAAACTTTTATTGAGTATAGGCTTAAGAAGGCAACAAACCAGAATCTGTGAGAAATACAATAGAATAAGATCCTCATTCTTCCTCCAGCCTTCTAAGGAGTATGGGGAGATGAAACACACAAAGGGAAAAATTAATCAATTATATCAAGGCAATGCGATAAGTAATTTGTTACCCAGGTATTCTGTTTAGTTTGTTATTTATTTACTTGAGGGGCACTGTGGTATAACAGAGAGCCTGCCTCAGTGGTGGGAAAATCTGGTTTAAGTCCTACCTCAGACATGTAATAGCTCTCTGACTCTGGATAAGTCATTTAACCTCTTAATCCATGCTTCAGCCTAGATCTAAGTCTCTAACTTGCAGAATGATTGCTTTGCCGCATCAGAGAAAGGTTCTCCTCACCAGGAATTTCCCATAGCAGTGAAATTACATGTCCTTCCTACCCTATATCATATTCCCCCCCCCCCCCAAAAATTTATTCATTCTCTGGAGCTTCTCTTGCAACCAATCTAAAATATTTATTGTCATTCCTCATGCCTTCTCAGTCTGCATTGCCTGAACTGGCCATCCTTCTCTCCAATCATCTAAGTACCGTTCCTTCACAATCAAACTCCAAATACATTCTCCATTATGAACTCTTTTTCAGCTGTGCCAGCCCACAGTAAACTTTGTCCTTACGGAATTCCTGTAAAATGCTTATTACCTATGCGTATCGTTTGACACTTAGCAAATGCTGTCTTTTATTGTTTTTCTTTTATGTCATTTTCCCTCATCTAGATTATAAGTTCCTTGAGGACAGGAACCAGATAGGGAGTTTCTTCTTTTTGCCTCTTTGTTCATTTTTATCTTTTTGTAACCTTTGTACCCATGAAAGTAGTTTGCACAATAACTGTTTAAGGAAGATGAAAATAAGTGATGCCAGGCAAAAAGCATTCAGGGGAGGGAGGGAGAAAGGAGAAATTGAGGGAGGAAAATAAGAACTAGGGGATTACTCCATGCCTGGGACATTGGTTGGGAGAAAGCTGGGGAGACATCAGGCAATGTGGTGAAATGTTGATGAAAGGGAATAACTTTTAGTGCTAAATTCCCAAACCAGTGCCCCAAAGGGGCATTTTATTTTGAAATATCACCGCCAACCTAACCCTGTAATCCTGTCCTCCCTTCTTTAAGATGTTGGACAACTCTTTAATTCAGTAAAGACTATTCTGAGGTTTAAAAAAAGGTAAAGGAAAGAGAAAACGACAATTACAAAGCTCAGGGTGGTCATTTTCATTCTATCCAACCCTACTCCTGACCATCTGGGTCAGTATCCAAAGCCTAGATAAGGCTGGTTCTTCCTTTTGAAGTGAATCAACCTTGATGTAGTCCATTTGGCTCTAAATAATTGTTACCTTTTAGAGACTTGGAAGCCAGCCTTCAACATAGCCCTCTCAAGTGTTCAAGGTAGACCACTTGTCTTTTCTGATATCAAAACTGGCTTCCTTTCTGGAAGTTCCCACTCAATTTTGGCAGCAGGAAGCTTCCACCGGACCTTAGCCCTGGTTCATTTGATGCTCAGATAACACTCCTGCTCTGGATCTAATTGACATTTCATACCCGACCTGCGAGCTCTACACACTTTTTGGTATGGTCTCAAAAAGATTAGTCATTTTCAGTTTGGTTCCCACTTCTCATAGGGGAATGGTCTCTTCCTAGAATCCCATAGGAGAATTCTATAATATTCTAGTACTTTATACTTCTAGTAATAACACAGGCAGTTTTGATCCAAAATTAAAAGGTCATCACACACCAAGGGGCAGAAAAATTTTTCATGACTAGATCAGAGGGCAGATGGGGAAGATGGAAAAAATGAGAGTGGCCAAAGCAAGATGTGTCATTTGAAACAAAGGAAGATGAAACCCTCTCCTAGGTAAAGTGAAACCATGATCTTGGATTGATGTGATCTTTAAAGCAATGGATACACATTTGAATGAATTAGGAAATTTGAAAACTCTTGCTTCCACTCTTAGACCAAAGATTCATTCCTCAGCTCCCAGCTTTCTCTAAGGAGGCAAACATTTTGTCATCAGACATCAGCCTCTAAGATAGTGGAATCTAGGTCTCTTACCTCTTAACCACCCTCAAGCTGCTGAGGGATGATAAAAGCTCACATGTATTTAGTGCTTTAATGTTTGGAAAGCACTTTTCTCACAACCCCATGATGTATATGTAGAACAGGTACTATTCCCATTTTGCAGATGAGGAAAGTGAGCCTCTACATTAAGGTTAAATGACTTGCCCACGGTCAGACAACAAGTAAATATCTAAGGTGGAACTCATTCCCAGGTTTCCTACTTCTAAGGCTATCATTCTTTCCATTACTCTACAGTATCTCTTCAAGGGCTAGAACTAGGCTTCTTTCTAACTCTCTTGGAACTTCCCTTATACTAGGTGTCAGGGTTACCACTTCTTTCAAAGCCCCTGTGGTCCACCTTTCAGGCTACTGAAGGCTGAATCTTCTCTTAAGCTCCCCACGGTGTTTGGAATGATTCTGGGCTACATATCACCAAACTTGAGCCTTGCCAGTCTACCTCTGCCCGGCAGTCTTCCCCAGGAAGCAGAGCGTGGAAAACCAATAAGACCATCAAAGAGAGTAACTTCTGTCCACTGTTATTCTTTCTTGATTTGTAAGATTCAACAGTCACAATATTCTCTGTGGGAAACAGCATGAACCAAAGTTTACGTAGGAATGAATGTGATTTATTCAGAGTCCAGTGAGGAAATTGGCTTGGCTAGAACAGAGGGTGTGTGTTGGGGAGTAGTGAGGGAAAAGATGAGAACCAGAAGGCTGGATAATGGTGGTTGAGAACCTTTAGGCAGATAGTCTAGGGGTCAGTGAAAAAAAGGTAGAGAAAGTGGCACTGGAGGAGGAAATAGAGGAGCTGGGGAGGAGCTCTCAAAGGAGCTTTGATCATTTTCTTAAATCTAATTCATGTGTCAGTCGAGACATCACCCCTTGAGGTCATTGGTCCTCTTCGAAAATGAAGGATGAATAGTCGTCACACCTGTCCTAAAATAGACTTTTGGACCCATGGGTCTAGTCCATTTAAGCAGACCCTTCTCTTCCTTCGCATTCCAACTTCCGTCACCATTCCCCACCATTGGATAGCTTCTACTTTTCTTTTCACAGCACATGAAAACTGCAAAGGTTGCCAGCTTGGGGATTTTGAGAATGAACAAGTGGCCTACTTCCATTCCTTCCTCTGTCTCAATGACTTACATTCTCAGTCCAGGCCTTTGTTAGTGCTGTCTCATTCCTAGATGATTGTAGGCTTCCTTCTCCCTGGCTTTGTCACCTCCTGGCCCATTTACAATGCCGTGGTTTAAATGTCATCCGTTTAGTCTGATGCTGTCATCAGCATCATTCTGTCTCTGAATTAACAATAATCTTGATGATAATAGTAGATGACATTTATGTAACACTTTGAGGCTTACAAAGCTCTTTTCTTTTTATAAATTTTCATTTAATGCATACAACAACCCTGTGGGCTTCTTACTGTAGCTGGTATTATCTCAGTCTGGTGGAGAAAAATGATGCCAAGCAACGTGAATTAACCTACTTCTGGTCATAGAGCTAGTAAGTTTGGAGGTGGAATTTGAACCTGAATCTCTCCTTTGAAGTTCAGTGTTCTTTTAATTTGTGACAAACCTTTCATTGAAGGGGTCCCTCATATTTCCTCTGGATTTTCTCCACACCTTCGTTGAACTTCATCTTGCCCCGTAAGGCCTGTCTTCTTGAATCAGACCAGTTCTATTATCCTCACTAGCTGTGCTTCTGGAACTTTTTTCCCAGTTCAGCCCCCACCCCTTTTCTAAACTTACTAGTCATCCTCTAGGACTCATCTTCACATTTATATCATTTTCATACTTTCAAAGCACTTTTTTATCCATTCTTTTATTTGATCCTGAAAAGAAACAGTGAACCCTAACGTAGGTGAGGCAGGCATTAGTTATCCCTTATTGAAGTGGCAGTGTGATTAGGGGACTGGTGTCGGAGTCATCTTGTATGACCTGGTTATGTGACTTTGGGCAAGGCACTTTACGTTTAGGTCCCTATTTCCTCATCTGCAACCTAAAAGGCATGGATTAGAATACCTGCCCCCTCAAGGCCACGGTGGCCTTCTAGGTCCTTGGGTGTGGCATTTTGACTGAGTCCAAGTTTTACAGAACAAATCCTTTTATTAAGGGGATTTATTTTGTGAAATTTCATTCAGTCAAAGGACCACACTTGAGGACCTAGAGGGCCATATGTGGCCTCAAGGCTGCAGGTTCACCACCCCTAGATTAGGTGATCACTAAAATACCTTCCAATTCTTAACATTCTACGACTGTAAAGAAACAGAGATACCCAAAGGTAAACTGACCTGCCTGAGGTCACCCAGCAAGTTAGTAAAAAACTCTAGTTCCCAGGTTTCTGGACTCCAAAGCTAGTGTCTTTCCACTATGTTGTTGTGGCTTCCAAACTTCCCCATCAGTTTTTCCACCATCCTCCTTTCACTTTATCCAAGAAAATCTCAAATAGCTTCTCTCCTCTCTACCCTTCAGAATAATGATTTTAAAACTGAAATGGGTGAGTAGGCTGCCCATAACCCTGTCACTGCCTCAGGGACCATCTTTGGCAGTAGTTTTGGCTCAGATAGCGTAAGGGAGCCGTGACTATATGATTCACAAGAAATGATCCACCATCTGGTGATGTGGGCCAGCCTGGAGGTCGGTGCTGATCTAGCAAATTGTTTTTAATCATTATTAAACATTATAAGGTTGCTGGACATGAGTTGGATTCTAGTCTTTGGGAGCAATTGTGCCTGTTAATTGAGCCCATCTCATACCTCTTCCCCTGCTGTCCTTAGAAGTGGATTTGCTGACCAAGGAACTGGAAGACTTTGAGATGAAGAAAGCTGCCGCTCGAGCTGTCACCGGTGTCTTGGCCTCTCACCCCAACAGCACTGATGTCCACATCATTAACCTCTCCCTCACTTTCCATGGTCAAGAGTTGCTCAGTGACACAAAGCTGGAGCTGAACTCAGGGCGTCGCTATGGCCTCATTGGTCTGAATGGAATTGGTAAGGCACTGGAATGATGAGAAGAGTCTGATTGGGTTGTTTTGTCAACCAGCAGTATTTATAGGGTATCTCCTATGGACAAAGCCAGGATGCAGAGATTGCTAAAACATTGCTTCTGCCTTCAGGGCCCTCACATTAAGCAGGAAGAGGAAAAAGCAGCTGAACAATGCAGGGCAGGGCAAGATAAGTTCCAGGAGAGTGGTACGTAGTATAGCAAGTGCTTGTAGATGAGAGGAGAGGGAAAGTACTAGGCTTAAGTGGCCAGGGAATTTTCTTTGTGGATTTCTGGGAGGGTGAGCTAGATCCTTTAAAATGGATAGAAGTGAGATAGGCGGCAGATAAAAGGGTGGAGGCAATGTTTGCAAACTCTGGGTAGGAGGGGACGTGTAAAACCAATCTCTGTGGGATGAAGCATTTATTTGGGGGGAGTTGCATGAGGTAAGGTTGGAACCAGATTGTGTGGGGAATGCCTGTGCTGATTCACCCTTCCACTTTCCATATTCTGTCCCCTACTCCCACCTCACCCTTTTCCTAAATTTCTCCTTCACCTTCAGGAAAATCCATGCTGCTGTCTGCTATTGGTAAGCGGGAGGTGCCTATTCCAGAGCACATTGATATCTACCACCTGACCAGGGAGATGCCCCCCAGTGACAAGACACCCCTGCAGTGTGTGATGGAGGTGGATACAGAGCGGGCCATGCTGGAGAGAGAGGCTGAGCGGCTTGCCCATGAGGATGGTATGGACATGGGCTGTGCTTGGGTGGGTGACCACACAGTGAATAAAGGCACAAAGGTCCTTAGATTGATATGCTGTCTTCTCCCCATGCCTCCTGTTTATAGCGGAGTGTGAAAAGCTGATGGAGTTATATGAACGATTAGAGGAGTTGGATGCTGACAAGGCAGAGATGAGGGCCTCTCGAATTCTACATGGTTTGGGCTTCACACCTGCCATGCAACAGAAGAAACTCAAGGACTTCAGTGGTGGCTGGAGAATGAGAGTTGCTCTTGCCAGGTGGGTCCCTCCCCACCTCAGTCCAACCTAATTTCCTTGAGGCAGATTGTCGTCTGTCTCTAGTTTCTTGGAGCTGAACCCCACTACTCTTTGGAATTAGTTGTGTTAGAACAAGGGTCAGCAGGGATGTATGCCAAGTGAATGATGGCTTTAATTACAGTCAGTGGGCTTGTGGAGGGAGAGTTGTGTGGTTAACACATCTAAAGGGGACAGAATTGTGAAGAAGGTCTCTTTCCTTCCTTCTCTGGCAATACCTTCCAGCTTCACTTCCCCTTTGCTGGCTTGTGTCTGATTCCTAATAAGCTGTGCTAAAGAATTGATTAAGGTGTTTAACAACTTAGGTACTTACCTTTCAGTCTATCCTCTTAATACCTAGTCTTCTGGGTGCTTTAGGTTGGAGGCTCCAGTAAGTCCTAGGCATATTTCCCAAGTCAGCTTCCTTCTCTTCTCCTTCCCTGGGCTCTTTGTTTGACTTTCCTTCTTCAAAGCAATGAATATTTAAAGAGCTGCTTTAGAAAGGCTACCTACCAACTTCTTTCTGGAGCTTTAGGGGGGAAAGAACTCTAAAGTCAGCTGTCCTTCACCCACTTCACTTGGGTCTCTCCTCTGTTCCACGTTCTCTCTTGTTTCTGGGTCTGACAACCTTGTCATCAGGTAGTTCTTACTTATGTCTCACCTATATGCTTGTGGCTATTCCAGTTTATTTCTCGTTTATTTCTTGTGTAGGTGGAGACTTACAGAAGAAACAGCACCATCTTTATTAGGTCCTCTGTAGTTGCCTGTCCTCTTCAGCCTATATCATCTCTTTACTTAAAAGCCTTCATTTCCCTTTCCCACCAGAGCCCTTTTTATCCGGCCCTTCATGCTGCTATTAGATGAGCCCACCAACCACCTGGACCTGGATGCCTGCGTTTGGTTAGAAGAAGAACTGAAGACGTAAGAGTGTGTGCATACATATGGGAGGGCATTAGGACTGGATTGGGCAGTGATTCTTAACTTTTTTTGTGCTGTGGCTCCCATTAGCAGATTGATAAAGCCTATGGACCCTTTCTTAGAATAATGATTGTAAATGCATAAAATAAAATGTATAGGATCAAGCCATTTAAAATATAGATATTGAAATATTAGAAAGATAAATTCATAGTGCCCACGTTAAGAACCCGTGGGCTAGGAACAAGGTCGGAAGCAACTCCTGTAGTAAATTGAGAGCAGACCACTGAGAAGCTTCTGTGTAAGATCCTAGATTCAATTTGAAGTCTAGTAAAGGGAATAAGGAAGAGTCCTGATGAGACCTAAAGAAATCCCTGATTTACATGGGTACTCCACTACATTTGGGAATGGCTTGGGTCAGTATTTTCTACTTTTTTCCGGGTCTATCAAAACCTATTAACTTCTGTGTTCTTTCATCCATCCTGCTTTCCTCCCAGCCCAGCCAGCTGTCCATAGCCGCTTCCATATTTTAATTTGTGTGTATGCATACATGTACCAGCCCCACTGTCTTGTCTTTTGCTTCTGTGGTTACTGCCTCCTCCACTTGCCTGATTTTTAAGAAAATGGTGAAGGAAAGTGAGAAAACTTGGCCTGCTTCATGAGTTCTTTGACTTTTCAGCTTCAAGCGAATTCTCGTCCTCGTCTCCCATTCCCAGGACTTCCTGAACGGTGTTTGTACTAATATCATCCACATGCATAATCGGAAGCTCAAGTATTACACAGTGAGTGGGCTCCCGCAGCCCCATTGGGGTGACTTCTTTGGGTTCAAGCATGTTATAGAGATTTGTTTTTGCTTTTATCCATCTTTTATTTTTCCATTACCTTCATTTTCTAATGTACCTGTTCTTCCCCCTTCCTAATGAACTATCCTGATAACAGATAGAATTCTCTGTTCAAGACATATTTTTTAAAACTCTCAAAATTTTTCAGAAGGTACAGGGCTGCATCCTAATCCTCTCCATCAGAACAAAAGAACAGAGATGAGAACCTTGGCAGCCCATTTTTAAAGACTATTTACTCACGTCCATGATGGAGGGAATCAGTCCTTACTGGCCATGCTGTGCTGTGGGCTAGGTGATAGGAAGGACTGTTTCAGCTCTCTGGGTGACTGCCCACACACAGCAGTTGCCATGCACTGTATATGTCTGCTCAGCAATTGCTCCTAAGTCTGTAGATTCCCAAACCTGAAGGTTTGACCTTGAACACATCCCCCTCTTTTTTGTCATATAGTCATTTTTCAGTTGTGTCTGACTCTTTATGACCCCATTTGGGGTTTTCTTGGCAAAGATACTGGAGTGGTTTGCCATTTCCTTCTCCAACTTACAGATTAGGAAACTGAGGCAAATAGGCCAGGGTCACACAGCTAGTAAGTGCCTGAGGCCAGATTTGAACTAGATGTGTCTTCCTGACTCCAGGCCCAGTACACTATCCACTGTGCCACTCAGTTGCCCCTTCTTTACCTGCTGTGTAATCTTGCCCAGGTAGAGGCAGAATAGTCCTTCCCCTGACCTACCTGAATGAATACAGCTGCCTGCTTTATCCACCTCCTTCATGCAGGGTAATTATGACCAGTATGTGAAGACACGATTGGAACTGGAAGAAAATCAGATGAAGCGTTTCCATTGGGAACAGGATCAGATTGCTCACATGAAGGTATGAAGGCTGTGGAGTCAAGCCTGGAGCAAGGCAGTGGAAAAAGTGCCTTTAGAAGCTTGAGGATGGGGGAAGAAGAAGAAATCCGTGTACCCTTACCCTGATTACCCTGGTCTGTTTCAGAACTACATTGCTCGATTTGGTCATGGCAGTGCCAAGCTGGCCCGGCAGGCCCAGAGCAAAGAGAAGACACTGCAGAAGATGATGGCGTCAGGGCTGACAGAGAGGGTTGTTAGCGATAAGGTAGAGGCCAAGTGGGCCCACGGTTTTTGGTCATGTATTGCTGGTGGGAAGCAGGTGGGAAAGGGGCCTAGACTCTAGTAAATGTTCTGTGCTTCTATTCTTCAGACACTTTCATTTTATTTCCCGCCGTGTGGGAAGATTCCTCCACCTGTTATCATGGTGCAGAATGTGAGCTTCAAGTACACAGATGATGGGGTAAGTTCAGGCCAGGGTGGGTTGAGGGGCCAGAGTGGAGAGGAGAAGGTAGAAGGATGGTGCCAGGACCAAGGGATGAGTCCCAGTTAGGCTGAAGCTGATCCTTCCAAGCTATTGCCATTTGTACCACCTTAGAGAGTAGGGGAATTCGAGATCTGACAGTTGGGGAGGGGCTTGGTAAGGTATGGGGGTCTCCGTCATCTGTGGTCTTCCTTCTCTTGGGGGTGGAGGTTAAAGAGGGCCACAGTGGGACAGGGCACTGAGGCGTCCCTGTTTCCTCCTTCCAAACAACAGCCCTGCATCTATAACAACCTGGAGTTTGGAATTGACCTGGATACACGTGTGGCTCTAGTGGGGCCCAATGGAGCTGGAAAGTCAACCCTGCTGAAGCTGCTGACAGGAGAGGTAGGATCAGGAGGGTCGGACTGCATGTGTATCCTTGTTCAGGAGGCCTTCCCCATGAGTGCTCTGAGGGCTGGAGATTGCACACTGTTCCAGGGCAATGCTCAGTGACCCCTGACCCGCTATATTCTTCTCCTTGCTTTGGCTACCTTTCTTTCACCTAGGCTCCTCTCCATCAAGAACAGGATTTCTTTTGAGGTCCACAGATAGATTTCAGGGACCTTGAATGAGAAAAATTACATCCTTATTTCACCATCATTGGTTCTGTTTGTAATCCTGCATGTTCTATTTTACACATTTAAAATGTGTTATTCTGAGAAAAGGGATCTGTGGGTTTCACTGAGCTTCCAAAGAGATCTGTGATGGGCTAAAAATTCCTGAACTAGGGGCTGGGAAACTTCCCCCAAATGGCTGGAGGATGGAGAACTGCTTGAGGTTCTTTAGCCAAGAGTAAGGCTTGGGGGGAAGAAGGGAATGTGGCTCGCTCAGGTTTGCGTTGTTTTCAGAAGACAGCTGATTCTTACTCTAAGAGCAGCAGACATGAAGTTATCATCTACTTAGTCAGAATAGAGAATCCTGTGTGTTGGGGGTGGGGAGAGGCAGGAGAGATACTTTGCTAAGAAACTGTATTTGTTATCTGTCTTGTCTTCCTTATTTGTCTGAATGTTTTCTACTCCATCTGTGCCTGCGTGTATCTCTCTGTCCTTGGGGTGGGGGTTGGAGTTTATGCTATCTTCCTAAATACATTTAGGGTGGCCAGGATACAGACATACGTTTGTGAATCTGTGTTCTTTTTAACTGTGTGGTTGAAGCCTCTGGCTAAAGGGGGTGTTTAGTATGGGGAGGAGGTGGAGAAAAATTATCCATGTGGTGTGTGTGTCTTTGTCCCTTGGTGGGAAAAGTTTTATGTGTTCCTTGGTCGTGTTCTTTCAGCTGCTGCCCACAGATGGGATGATTCGAAAACATTCTCATGTCAAGATTGGCCGCTATCATCAGGTATAAGGGGAAGGGAATAAGCATTTATGTGTTTCCTGCTGTGTGCTAGGCACTATGCTAAGTACCTAACGAAGATTGTCTCATTTAATCCTCACAACAACCCTGTGATGTAGGTGCTGTTGTCATCCTCATTTTACAGTTGAGGAAAATGAGACAGAAGTTAAGTGTCATTTAAAGACTTGTCCAGAGGCACACAGCTAGTAAGTATCTGAGGCTGGATTTGAACTCAGGTCTTTCTGATTCCAAGCCCAGTACTCTATCCACTGTGCCGCTAGCTGCCTAAGGTAGAAGGGACCTCTATCTGGCTATCCTTGACTTCACTGCCTCCCCAGTAAGGGGTGTTTACAGCTTACCCGATGCCATAAAGACATAAGCAAACAGCATGGAGTTTGCCGTCTCTCAATCAGGAGACCTTAGGGGTCAAGGCCCCTCAAGGGTCAGCACTGAGCGGCTGTCACTTCTAGGATTCTACTCAGAAAGAGGTTATTAACACTCATCTTATTGCTGTTCTCCACATGTAGCACTTACAAGAGCAGCTGGACTTGGATCTGTCCCCCTTAGAATATATGCTGAAGTGTTACCCGGAGATCAAAGAGAAAGAGGAAATGAGGAAGATCATAGGTCGATATGGCCTAACTGGGAAGCAGCAGGTAAGCAGGGATGGCGCTCCAGGAAGCTGAGAGAATCCTGAGCCATATGGATTATGGGCAGCATGTCCTGAACCCTGCAGTTCTTTTGGCTCCTCAGACTCTTGGTGAAATTCCTTTTTTATAAATGTTAGCTATTAAATTGTCATCCTCCCTTCTCTTTTCTTCCCCAGATAGGAGAGAGGGCCAAGTAGCAGGGAAGGAACATCATGACTGTCTGAGATGTTTTATCTTGTTTAAGATCTTGATTTTTTTCCTTCCTGTAATGGGATGTATGGTGGGAAGGGCTGGGAACCTTCATTCTCTGCACCTCATGTTTTGTGCCCTCAGGGTAGGGGCCTGATGGAAAAAGAAGAGGGCAGCAAGAGACTCAAATATTCATAGTAATCTCCCATAATACAGCTGTGGTCATGGGAGAAAAAGGGAGTGCAGCCATGGAGACAGAGCCCAGGGATCAAACTCCTGGATTCAGATCCAGGGTTGAAAGCTTAGTGCTTCCCTGAGCCTATAGCTCGGGTATTAAAGAGAGGCCACCTACGGTTCTGACTCCAGAAACATTTTTAGCTACGAGCCAGGAATCTTGTGTGCTAATCTTGACTGACAATGTGGCATGTTACTGCGGAGCATTGCCTCAAAGTCCATGTAGGTCAAAAGGTTGTGATCCCACACAGGTGAGCCCAATCCGGAACCTTTCAGATGGGCAGAAGTGTCGAGTATGCCTGGCTTGGCTGGCTTGGCAGAACCCCCACATGCTCTTCCTGGATGAGCCTACCAACCATTTAGACATTGAGACGATAGATGCTTTGGCTGATGCCATCAATGAGTTTGAGGGTGGCATGATGCTAGTCAGCCACGACTTCCGGCTCATCCAACAGGTAAGAGCTCTTGTTCCTCAGGAGGAAAAGGGATGGGTGTTGGGGAGGATATGAGATCAAATACAGACACCGGGGAAAAGGGGCCCTCTGAATGAGAGTTCTGGCAGCTCCGTGGGGTCATTCCTGAAGGACCTGTAGTTGAAAAGGTGCCTTTCTTGGAAAAAACCAATCTAGGATTCCTGATCTGACCACTTTTACGAGGAGGAACGATTACCTTCTTGGAGGCTTTTGGTCTGGGGTGGGTGGGGAAGGGATTATGAGGCACTGGACTGAGTTACTGAAAGAGGGTCATAGGATTGTAGATGACACAGTTAGCTCTGGAAAACACAGGGGTCATCTTCATCCTCGTTTTATAGATGAAGAAACGAAGACCTGGAGAGTCTTCTCTACAACTGATAAATAGGTGGTGAAGCTGGAGTTGGAACCTAGGACCCCATGTTCTTTCCACAGAGCAGTGAATTGGGCTTGGGGCTATCTTGCTGGCCATCCCTTAGAACAGAATCAATCCTAGTTTTCTGGACCGGATGTAAAGAGAATTGAGGACTATGATTCTTCTTTCAGGTTGCCCAGGAGATCTGGGTCTGTGAGAAGCAGACAATCTCCAAGTGGTCTGGTGACATCCTAGCCTACAAGGAACACCTTAAGTCTAAGCTGGTTGATGAAGAGCCCCAGCTCACCAAGAGGACCCACAATGTGTGAGCTGGCCACCACAGGTTTGGGTCAGGACCTTGGTCTGGGGACTAAACATCTGCTACCTGACCAGCCACCCAGGCCTGGACCCCGGGGCTGTGCTCTTGCGTCACTGCAATATTCCTCATCCCTTGCCATCTCTTCCCTTTCCCCTCCATTAACCCCCTGTTCCTGCCTTAGCAGCACTCTGACTCCTGCAGACAACACCTGTCTGTTTCCCACCCTCTCTGCTTACCTTTATCCACGTCTGGACCACCGTTGGCTACCCTCCCTCAGTCCCATATTGTTTACCTTATCCATACCCGGATGTTCATGCAGTCAGGGGCAGCCCTGGAGCCCGACCCTTAGAGTTGGGCCACAATGAAGGGAGCTGGGTTCAGGGAGGTGTGAGGAAGGTTCCAACCCCTCCTCCCCTCCCCCTCCTTCCACTTCTGCTTCTCTTCTCCCATTCTGCTTCTGATTCAGAGCTAGGGGCTGGGGCCCTGGTTCTGGTCCTGGTTGGTTTTTAAAGAATTATTTAACAGTGTAACTACCAGATCTGCCTGACACCCCTACAAAGTGTCCAATAAAGAAAAAGGAAAAAAAAAGCCACAGCCACACTTTGCTTCCTTGGCCTGGATACTGTTCCCTCCTCTAGCCCAGCCCCCAACACTGAGACCTCTTCGCCCCAACCCCGGGTAGGATTGGGGCCCTGAGTGAGATCTGATCCTGGGCTGGGCAGAGAGGACACTGACACTGAAGACGAAGCCCTGAGTGAGGCTGGAGTGGGAGTGGGCTGAGTGTTAGTGAAGAGAATGAATAGAGTTGCTCAGGCCTTTTCTCTGCACCTGTGAGTCTGTTAGGATACAGTGCTGCAAAGGGAATCCTAGATCAGAGCAGCTTTTTCCCTTTCGATTCTTTTGAGGAACCTGATTTCTGTCAGGCAACCCCAGGCCTATGCAAAGACTATTCTGTTTGTTTGGACTCTGTTTTTATTTCTGTCATTTTTATCATCTGGCCCACTAGCAGCTGTATGCTTCAGTATTCCTGATGACCTCCAGGGGCTGCTGTGAACCAGCACCCCCACCATGTCCCTCCTCTTCCTCCCCCCCCTTCAGAAACCATCATCTCACTATGTTAGCAAGAAGGCAGGTGGCCCCTGGCTCCCTCCTGTTCTCAATCCACAGAGCTGAGCCTAAGCCTTGTGGGAGGGGCATGCAAAGGAAAGGGAAGTCCAAGTCCTGCCCTCAGACTCTTACTCTTAGTTGGAGAAATGGTTTTCAAACCAAAGGTTTTTCAGACAATACTAGAAAATGCACTGGTGCAGACTGAGGCATTCTGAAAAGGGGAAAAAGCTGTTTGGGCTAGAGTCAGAGAAGGTGAATTGAAGCTGGGCCTTCAGGGACGCGTGCAATTTGGAGAGACAAAAGAGGAGCAGGATATTTCCAGTAGAGGGAAAAACAAGGACAAATGGAGGAAGTTAGACACTGAAGATGGTTTTTAATGAGCAGTGAGGTGGACCATAGTGACTAAAAGCCTCGGTGCAGGTTGAATAACTGTCTCTTCTGCTTCTTGATAGGCTCATAAGGAAGGGACTTTTCCCTGGGACTTAAGGAGCTATCCCCTCAAAACTGGCTGTGAGTGCTAAGAGTCAGGACTTCTAGTTGGAGGGAGCCTTGAATGTCATCTCGTGCAGCCCTCTCATTTTATAGAAAATGGGCCCAGGCCCCAAGGTCACATGGATGATGAGGAGACCCAGGTTCTCTTCACACCCGGTGCTCTTTTCATTAGGTCTCCTGGGACCCTCAAGATCTTAGCTTCTGCAGAGGTAGCCACGTGTGGGATTTGAAGTGCTGAGAGCTTTCCCAAAAAATATTTTCAGTGATACCTGAAATTCCATTATTTACAATTGATTCCGAAATTCCATTACTTACAGTTGATTCCGAAATTCCATTACTTACAGTTGATTCTTCTGGGATAAGCATTGCCCTCTTCCTGTTAAATTCTTCCATGTTAATTCCCTAATAACCTAACCTATTAGTGTAAGTGGTAAATTTCCAGAACCTAGTGATGAGATCCCCCTACCTTCAAGAAATGTACACTCTTTGTAAGGTTAAACAAAAATTTGGGAGAGCTACATGCTCCTTGACCCCTGGCGCCAAGCCAAAATGATGAAATCAAGTTTTTGTGTTTGTGTTTTCCCTTTTTCATTTTGTCCTCCATTCCTTCTTTCCATACCTCTTCTCCGAGGCTCCACCCCCTAGGACTTCATGCTTTCATGCTCCCTCAAGTCTCCAAATTAGTAAGCAGAAGGAATAGGTAATGCATCCATGCTAAGATTTCATAGCTAAGAAGGTATACCACTATATCAGGCTGCCTCTCAAAGTGGAGAATATAAAATGTGAAATATAGAGGAAATATGCATTGGAGAAGGGGAGAGAAAACCCAGTACATCCTCCTCCTGTTTCCCCTGCTTCTGTACCTATTCAAGTCCTAGTCATCTGTCGGGTCCTGCCACTCCTTCACAGCCTTCCCCAGTTGCTCCCGGCCAGAAGAATGAGTGCTCTTTTCTGGCCTAGAAGCCTTTATTAGCATTCTAAGCTATTGAGCTTGCAATTGCTCTCCAGTTGTTCCAGGTGCCTTAGTTTTACCTCCCTAGGTAGATTTTAAGCTTGAAAGTAGAGACAATAGCTTTTGCTTCTCTGTCCCTGAATAGCGCAGTGCTTGGCACATAGTAGGTATTCAATAAATACTTGATGTACTGTTGATGACACTAGCTGGTTTATGGACTTAAGGCATTTGATAAATTCACTGCTAAGAGCCCTTGGCACACAGGAGGAGATTGTTGTACCCTCCTTTAGCAAGATTTGGAAATTGTTCCTCCTGATTGTGCAGAGGCAGGCACTATAAACATACCTTCGGAAATAGTTATGAATAGGTCCAACCATTGTGGGCAGCAATTTGGAATTATAGGACAGTGACAAATATTAGCCCACTATTAGGCGTATACCCCATGGAAGTCAAAAGATAGAATGGTTTCATATACATCAAAATAGTAATAGCAGCACCTTTTCTGGTAGTAAAGAACTGAGAAGAAAGTAAACAGCCATTAATTGGGAGTAACTAAATAAATTGTGGTACACTAAAGGAATCTCATGATATAAGAAATTATTAATAATGAAGAGTTCAGAGAAGCATGGAAGACATGAACTGATACAGACTGAAGGAAGCAGAATCAGGAAAATACATGCAATGGTTACAACAATGTAAATGGAGAAAACAAACCACCAAACTGCCATGTAATTATAATGACCAAGTTTGGCACCAGAGAAAGAGAGAAAAATATACTTCTCTTTCTTTGAAGAGTTGGGGAGTGTGAGGATGGAACACTACCCATCAAATTTGGTTGATGTGTTGGTTTTGCTGTATTTTTCCTTTTTTTTTCTTTTGTTACAAGGGAGGCTAGTTGGGTAGAGGAAGAGGGAAGGCTATTTTCCGAAATGAAGGTGATGTTTTAAAAAAAAAAAAAGACAGCAATAAAAATAAAATTTTTAAGAGAAAAAAATTGTTCCTCCTGTCTGTTACTGTTTCCTGGATGCTTTGTGTCATCACTAACATTTTTGACTTGACATTACAAAATAAGTACCTGCAAGAATAATAGAAGTTTGCAAAGCGCTTTACATACTCATTTGAGCCTTGAAACAACTGTGTCAAGGGTGTACTACAGGTATTATCCTATTTTTTACAGATGAGGAAATTAGAGATTGCACCATCCAACCTTAAGTGATACCTATGGGATTCAAACTCTTGTCTCTTCTGACTCTAAGCCCAGCATTTCCACCAGAATACCAGGCTAGTTTTCCATGTACCATGCATAATGGAATCTTATGGCATTAAAAATGTATGCATTTATAGGAGTCAATCTTAAAAAGAGTCCCTCCTTTGCACCCTGTGTGTGGTACCTGCCCCTGATTCTGGCTTGGCCTGAAAGTTTGGTAGGAAAGCAGTATTTCTCACCAACCCTTCCTTGGGATCTTGCCTTAGAGTCCTCAGGCTGGAGTTGAGCTATGCCCCTCCCCTAATTGCCTGCCCCTCCCAGGTGTTCTCCCTCTGTGAAGCACCTTGGTCAGGTGAGCTGCTCTCACATAAGTGGCTTTCCCCAGAGCCACTGGGGAGAGGCTACCTCAAAAATGAGTGGTGAGGTTGGACAGCAACAGCAGCCACCACTGTCTGGGAGTCGCCGAGCCCCAGGGGGGAAAAAGTCCAAGCGGAGGGGCCACCGAAAGGAGACCTACTCAGTGTACATCTACAAGGTGTTGAAACAGGTGAGAAATATAGGAGCAGGAAGGAGTTATGGAATTGAGCTAGAGAGGCAGCCTTGAAGGATAGCTTACTACAAGGCCCTATAGTGGACTTAGGAGAGAGGAAGAGAAGAATGGAAGAAAAGCCTGATAGCCTACCCTTTGTATCCTTGATCTAGTTTTCCATTTAATAAAGAAGTTAGGCTGCATTAGACATCTCTTGCCATGTGAATTACCGAGTTCAATGAATCTGAGGGCTTAGCAGTTGGAGCAGCAGCTCAATAGGGAGCACACTGGTTCTCTATTGCCTGTAGGATAAACTAGAGACTCCTGTTTGGCTTTTAAAACCCTTCACCACCTGGCTCTAATCTTTCCAGCCTCATTCTACATCATTTCTCTTCCTGTACTCCAGCCAAACTAGCTGCATTTCTGATCTTCCTACATGGTACTCTGTCACGGTTCTCCATCCCTTTGCACCAGCTGTCACCTCTCCCTATTAGGCACTGCCTCCTTCCCACTGCCTCAGGGAATCCCTCTTTCCTTCAAGATGTAAATCAAGTACCACCTTCTACATGAAACCTTATTTCCCTTCCCTTCCTAAACCCTCTCCCTCATATATATGTATATATATATGTATGTATATATGTGTGTGTGTGTACATATGTATATATATACACATGTATATATATACATGTATATATATATACATGTATATATATATACTCTCTCAATAGTGGCCTCCTTTGCCATCCTTTCCCTTCCCTAAACTACCTTGTATTTATTCTGCATATGCTTACACTTCTTTCCTCTAATAGAATGTAAATTCTTGGAGATTAGGGATTGTTTCATTATTTCTGTCTATATCCCCAGTCCTTAACAACAGTGCTTGATGCGCAGAAGAGTATAAATAAATTCTTGTTGATTGACTTCAATGGAAGGAGTCTTTGAAGTCATTTGGTCCAACCATAACTAACTTGGAGTTTCTGTGTTGTGGGGTCTGTGGTGTATCTGGAGAGAGGTATTGAATGAAACAAAGTGCTGAAGGCCCGTTCTGACTATAAACCTGGCCCGTAGGGCTAGCAAGTGTGAGAGCTGGGATTTGGCTGCAAGTCTGTCTCTCTTTTAGCTGCCTTATTAACTCCTAACTCTATATCCCTGCCACTATTCTTCATTCCACCAGGATACGGGAAGGCTGAAGTCTTGAGTGAAAGAAGGGATTAGCCATAACCAAACTGGTTTAGTAACTTACCTAGGGAGCCATAGTCAAAGCGACGATTTCTCTCGTCTCTGAGCTGCTGTGGTCATCATTGCCTAGATTGCTCATTTAGCACTTGGCCCACGTTTCTTGCTATTCTTCCTGTTCAAGCCCTGAATTTCCACCACTGTAATCTCCTTGAAGACTGTGACTTTATACTACTTTCTCCTTCTCCCCAAGTTGAGGGATTAGGCACTCAGTAGGAGAATATAGATTTGTATGTCTTTCCTTTTTCTCTCATCCTCAGTTCTCATCTCCCCCCCCACCAGGGGTGACTAAAATTACCTGTTCCCCCAAATCCCCAACCTGCCTATAATTTCTACCCCTGCTCTGGGTTAGCCATCAAAAGTAGGTAGGAGCCACTGTTTCCAGAAGGCCCCAATTGAAGTGGAGGCTGGTTGGGAGAGGTCCGAACTGGTACTGAGTGTGACACTTCCTTATTAGATTAACAAGGCAGCCCCTGTACTGACAAGTGAAAGCAACAAGAGAGTATGGATTAGAAATATCCACTCTGGGGTGAAGAAGGCCTGTGGGGCTTGGGGAAAAAAACAGAAAGTTAAGGAACTGACCTGTGCCCTTGAGGTCATTTGGCTTTGAAAATCCTTCACAATTTGACTCCAGCCTATTTTTCTAGGTTTATTGCACGTTACTCCTTCATGCATTTCACTGAAATTGGCCTGCTTTGCTCTTCTCTTATGAATGACATTCAATCTCCCATCACTGTGGCTTTGCACAGGCCATTCCCTGCGCCAGGAATACATTCCCTTTTCACCTTAGCCTCATTACCTTCCTTCCCAGCTCAGCTGAATTACTGTCTTCTACAGCAGCGGTATCAAACTCAAATAGAAAATGGGGGCCACTAGACTTTATGTAAGGATCCCTGTAGCCACCTACTGACTTAGAAAATCTACAAATGACCAATTTCTATGTTCTGATATATTTTTATTGATTTTGTTAAATATTTCCCAATGACATTTTAATCTGGTTCTGGCAGCACTGGAAGAATTGTGGGCTGCAGTGCTGCATGGGCTGATGTGTTTGATACTGTTCCTATGCAAAGCCATTAATGATGTTCCCTTACCACAGAAATGACTTTGTACGTATTTGTATTTAATTTTCTGTGTACATGTCATCCCTGTCCCAACAGTGTTAATTCCTTGATGTTGGGACAGTTTCGTTTTGGTCCTGCTGTCTCCAGCACCCAGCCCAATGCCTGGCACATTAATAAATGCTTCTTGGCAGAATGGGAAGAGCTGGGAGGGAAAAGGCATCCATAATTTAGTCAAGAAGAATATAATTCCTTTTTCTGAGCATGAAATGATACCTTTCTAGAGCCCCATGAGCAGCTGTTCCCCATCTCCATCTCTACCATCATTGAGAAAAGAAGCAGAATAGATGGGGTTGCACCTACAGGAGGGATTTGGATGAAGTCAACCTTTATAATGAGATTTAACTCCATCCTTAGAATCATGGTATAGGGTATGGAACACTATAAACAAATATGTGTGTATGTACTCACACACATGTATGTGTTATGAGACCTTGGGCAAACTGCCCATCTCTAATTTACAGATGAGGAAACTCTGGCTCGGGGCGAGTGATGCCTGTCCTGCATGCCTTAAAGGGTGGATGTGATAAATAATGTTAGAACTTTTAGTGATCCTCTTATTCCACTTCCTCATTTTATGGAGGAGAAAACCAAGGCTCTCTCAAGGTGAAATGGCTTGCCCATCGTTATAGAGTGAACCAAAGTCTCCTGGCTGTCAATCCCATGTTCTTTGCATCACACTAGGCTTAACCCCTAAAATGAGAAGGGATTCAAAGATTGCAAAACAACACTAAGAAATTACCAATCTTCTGTGTTCTATGTCTTTTGCCTCCACAAAGAGGTTGGTAGGTGGAGCCTTAGGAAAGTAGTTTAGCTACCTTTCCAGCCTCCCCCAGACTGAGGGTGTGGATAGCCTGGCTAATGTCACTTTCTTTCACATCCTTCCCAGGTACACCCAGACATTGGCATCTCTTCCAGGGCCATGAGCATCATGAACTCACTGGTGAACGATGTGTTCGAGCGGCTGGCAGGGGAGGCAGCCCGGCTGGCCCAGTACTCGGGCCGGACCACCCTGACTTCTCGGGAGGTCCAGACAGCTGTACGTTTGCTGCTACCTGGGGAACTGGCCAAACACGCTGTGTCTGAGGGCACCAAGGCTGTCACCAAATATACCAGCTCTAAGTGAGCTTGTACCTTACCTTGTGGACTGGTTTAGGGGATGAAAAGGGATTGGTTTTGGGGATAAAAAGTTCCTTCCTCATCGATGTATGATGCCAGGAGCATTAATAAAGAATGGGAGGACCCCCACTGTCCTCCTCACTGCCTGAGCTGGTCGGTGAATGGGTGAAAAATGGTAGTATTTACATTTTTATGATCCTCATTAGAAAGAGTAGCAAACCTATCATATATTTGGAAAGATCATGGGACATTTATAGCCCTCTTGTGGGGTCACAGAAAGATCACTGAATTAGGTCAGGAGGAGACTACTAGCCTTGGCTCTACCACTACCTGTGCTGCTGATCACCTTTCCTAAGCCTTGGTTCCTCATCTGTTTTGTGAGAAGTGGACATCTCTAAGGCTGGACAAGCCATGATTCTGTCTTACCCTGTATCCTACAGCCTGTCCGGACTTAACTCTCCCAAGAGCTAGCCTGAGCCCTTATTCTCAGGACCCTGAAGCTAAAATCTTTCTTCTCGTTTATCTTTTCCACACATATTAGATGAAATCCAACATATTCTGTACTTCTGAGTCTGTCTATGCCAAATTACCTATCATACATAAACCTTTCATCTTATTATTAAACATTTATTAGTTATTTACTATGTGCCTTGCAGGGTGAGGTATCAGGGTGGGGCAGGTGGAACCTCTGGGGTTTCTATGGAAACCACAATCACCAAACAAAGAACAGCTGTAGAAGAGAGAGAGCAACATGTCTGAGGGGTGAGTGAGTTGGGAGTGGGAAGAAAGCCCCAAATACTGATCCTTACCCCTAAAAAAATCCAAAGAACCTCCCCATTTGTTGGTCATGCTATGGTCAAGACTCAGACTGAATCCTCTTTGGAGCATCTGGGTAGAGGATAGGAGACTTTTTTTGCACCAAGGTTTCCTCCCACCCCTCACAGAGCACCTTCTACAGCTCCAATCCATCTTTTTTTTCCCCATCTAGAAATGCTAATTGATTCTAAAGGCAGATGGAATTGATAGAACCTAAGAAATTGTTTAACCTAAAGAAGAAAAGACTAGGGTTATATGAATGGAGTTGGGGGGATTGGGGGTAGGATAGGGGTGGAGGCAGGGCAGCGATCTGATAGCTGTTTTTAAGCACATAATGGTTATAAGTAAAGAGGGATTTGACTTGCTGTGCCTCAAGAGGCAGAAGCAATGGGTAAAGATTTAAATGATGTTCGGAAAAACTTCCTAACAAATAGATCAGTTGGAAAACCAGAATAGACTTGTCTTGAGAAGTATCGAGTTCCTGCTTAATGGAGGTCTTCAAGCACTTGTTGGATATATTATGGTTGCTGTTCAGTCCTTTCAGTTGTATCTGACTCTTTGTAACCCCATTTGGGATTTTTTTTGGCAAAGTTACTAGAGTGATTTGCTATTTCCTTCTCCAGCTTATTTTACAGATGAGGAAACTGAGGCAAATAGGGTTAAGTAACTTGCCCAGGGTCATGAAGCTGGTAAATGTCTGAGGTCAGATTGGAGTCTTCCTGACTTCAGGCCCAGTACTCTATCCACCACACCACCTAGTAGAGATTTTCATTGAGTATACATAGAGTAGACTAGATAAGCCACTGAAGTCCTTTCTGTGGCTAAATTTCATGATTCAACTAGAGTGGTAGTTGAAGAGAGACCCTCTCTACACACTTATTCCTCTGTCTCTGCTTTCAACCTCTATCCCCGTTATATGCCACCATATAAATTTCTAGAACCTCTGGACTGCATCCCAGAAATGTCCCTAGAGGAGTTAATTGGTCTCCTGACTTCCACAAGGACACCCTCCCCACAAAGAGTCCTTGTTCCCTTTATTGACCTTCTGTTCTCTCAGTTCTCCATAGGGGTGGGGGTTCTTACCCTTTTTTGTGTTATGTATCCCTTTGGCACTCTAGTGAAACTCATGGATACCTTCGCAGAATAATGTTTTTAAATGTATAAAATATATGAGACAACAAAGGAAACCAATTATTTTGAAATTAAGATGTAACTTTTTTTCCCCACCCAAGTTCATGAATGCCCTAAAATCTACCCACGGACTTGTTGGGGATCTATGGACTCAAGGTTAAGAACTTCTGCTCTAGGGACTTGGGCCAAACTCCCTACTGGCCCTCTAATATCACTCAACTGGTCTCCTGACCCCCAGTGTCACCCTCTAGATTCATTCATCAATATTATCCCCATGTAGCCAAACATTGGATTATAGAATCTCAGATAATAGGATTAAAGCTGGAAGAACTTTAGTGATCATTCTAGTCTAACCTTGCTATTTTGAAGATGAGGAAACAGGTGGAAACAAGTGACCTAACCAAGGTCACACAAGTAATAAATGTCAGAGCTAAGATTCCAGTCCAAATTTTTCTCACTCTTAATCCAGCACCCTTTGCTTTGCATCACACGGTCTCAGTTCATTTTCCGGCCCCGACATTAATCTGTTCCTTGCTCTCCTCCCTCCGCCTTCACCACCAGGACATACCAGCGGCTCTGGGTTTCCACGCATCAGACGCTACAAAAGTTGTTGTTCCAGGAGCAGTTCCCGCCAGACCCAGTGCCTGACCGAGAGCGAGGCTCCTTCATCTATAGGCTCTCATCGCTCTTTCTGCACTACCTGGGGATGATGAGGCAGCTAGATATCATCTATGACCAGACGGTGCAACCCCAGAAGCGGCGGCTCGTCCGCCGCCTGTTGGATGGGGTAGCTGGTCGGATCCTGGAGCTGAAGGAGGAGTTGGTGCAAGTTGATCTATCTGAGTACCACTGCCTGGACCATATGCTTCAGGATCTAAAACTCACACCGGTGCGGGATGGGGGGTGGGGAGTCGATTTCTCTGACTGAAATGACATGAGTCTGGATGGAGAGAGGAGGGTTAGGGAGAACAAAAAGTGTGATTTTACTTCCCTGGTATCAGAGTTGAGCAGAGGTGGGAAAGGACAGAGTGACTTTTGAGCAAAGGGGTTAGTTAGTGGGGGAGACACCAAAGCTCGTATGTGGAGCCCCAGAAGAATTCTGATGGCTCTATAGAAGATTCAGCACCTCTGAATTCAGTGCCTAGAGTTGCAGAATACAGGGAAAAGGAAGGGATGGGTGGAGTGGGGCAGGAAGTGGTTGGACTTTTTTTCTCAATGCCAATAGTATGGTGTAGAGGAAAAAGTCATAGACTTGGATTCATATCTTTTGACACTTTTACCTGACCTTGGCCCAGTTACTTAACATGTCTAAAACTTAGTTTCCTCATCAGTAAAATGAGGGAATTGGTTTGGACTTACATTCATTTTGGGTTCTCCATCCAGTGGACCAATAAGGGCATGTTATTGTTCAGTCATTTTTCAATCGTGTCCAACTCTTTGTAATCCCATTTGGGATTTTCTTGGCAAAGATACTGGAGTGGTTTACCATTTCCTTCTCCAGCTCATTTTACAGATGAGGAAACTGAGGTAAACTGGGTTAAGTAACTTGCCCAGGGTCACACAGGTAGTAAGTGTCTGAGGTCAGATTTGAATTCAGGAAGATGAGTCTTCCTGACTCTAGGCCTAATACTCTATCCTCTTCACCACCTAACTGCCCCAATAAGGTGGTAAGAAACCCTATGAATGGTGTTTAGACTAGCCCAAGAAATAGAGGATAGACCTAGGGAACGATTTTTCCCATTGAAATTAACCAAAAAATAGGAAAGTGATAGGTGGACTTGGCTTTTTAGCACATACATGGGGGGAAAGGGCAGAAAGTGGTTGAAAGTAATATAGATGTCATGAAGGATCTTCTACTTTAGAATAGAGACAAGTTCATGGTCTCCATGTGTAGGCCTCTAATGCCTAGTTAGAATTCCGTCATGGCTGGGAAAACCTTCAAACAGATTCTACCTTCCACCCAAGGCAATCAGAGATTATGAAGTAGTCATCCAATCCCATCCTTACGTGCCCATCCCTACCTCCAATCTATGTTCTTACCCTAGAGGCTTATGTCATAGTCTTCTAGAAATCAGATTCATGTGAGTGTTCCTGCCTGGAGGGATGAGAAAGGACAGGGTGGCTTCTGGTGAGGTCTCTAACACCAATACCATCACCAACCCACCTAGGATTGCAGGACTGAGGACAGACAGGACAAAGGGGCAGCCACTGAAGGTGGGGGGGGGGGGTGGGTGGTGATGAGATAGTAGAAGGTCCTAACCCCCTGCTCTCCATCCCCTTTCCAAAGGCTGACCTAGAAGTCCCAATTCCCAAATACTTCATGTTGGAGCAGAGGAAAGAGCTTCAGGACCGGGAGGCAATGATGGCAGAGATCCTGGAGAAAATTGGGCAGAAGGATGGCAAGACTGTGAGAAAAAGAAACCCCTTCATGCCACTGATTCCCCAAAGATCCCTTCCCTTTTCCAAAATCTTGGCCCTACCTTGGGATATTTCTAGCCTTAACTTTTCTGTAACCCTGGACCATACCTTTTGGGAGACCACAGTCTTAGACTATAGTTAGGTGGTGAAGTGGATAGAGTATTAGGCCTAGAGTCAAGAAGACTCATCTCCCTGAGTTCAAATCTGACCTCATGATAGTTATTAGCTGTGTGGCCCTGGGCAAGTCACTTAACCCTCCCTTAGTGATCCAGGGAAGGCAACCAGTCAGGGAAAATCAGATTCCACCAAATGATATTTTTTTTTTAAAGAGCTGAAACTCATAGACATCCTCTCCCCTCCCACCCTGCTTCCACCTAACTCTAAATTGGATTTAGAGTCAGGCTACCTAGATTTGAATCTTGTTCTAGTACCTACTAGCTGTGTGACCAGCTGTATGAGGGGCAAGTCATGCCCCACTTTGGGACCATATTTTTTCTCATCTCTAAAGTAAAGAGGATCTGCAAGGCATGGCCTCTAAAGTTCCTCCCAATTCTGAATACTATGAGCCTGTGTTATCATTTATACACATGTGAGTCAGTTACACAATGCTATGTACCCCAGGCTCCATGTCCCTAGGTAGAGCAAAGACAGTTG